GCCAACACTTTGAGACACCAGGTTAGATGGATGCAAGGGCACTGACAGCTCTGCGGCTGCTACGATAAGGACTGTCAATATTCGTGATTGCTGGACTCTCTGTCCTCGGAGGTTTTCAAGACTCAGCTAAACAAAGCCTTGGGTGACTTGATCTCATGGTGGTGACAGACCTGCTTTGAGCAGGAGGCTGGGCTGGAGCCCTCGAGAGTCTCTCTGGATCCTGTGAATGACTCCTGAGGCAGTGGGAGCTGGAAAGCAGGTCACTGGCCGCGGGTATCAAGGCACTGGAGTTCATTTTCTGTCTCTGCCACTGAATTGCTACATGGCCTTGGGCAAGGTACTGAATCTTTCCTGGGCTGTATTGCCGTCTCTAGTCAGCCAGCCTGGTCTATCTAGGGTGTAAATTCCTCTTTAGGGGGTCATCTGCTGCTGTTAACACGGCCTCTGGCTTCACAGAGATTTTTCTGCCTGCGCTGCACAAGAGCAGCACGCTGCTTCTGAGAGCTGGGAGGAAAGGGAAGATGGAGACGCTACTCGGCAACAGATAATGGAGTTATTTCCAGCGAGGTGTGCATCACCATTGGCAAGCTGTAGCTATACGAACACCAGAAATGGTTAAAACTGATCTGTTAGCACTTTTGGTAGCCTTGTAGCAGAAATTAGGACTTATTGTAGAGCTCAGCGAGACAGAAGAGATCGAATCCCGGTGGTGGAAATTAGGAAGTGAAATGCCAAGAACAATAACTAGAACAATGTCATGAATTTCCTCCCCCACAGCGCTAAAGGAGTATGACAAGGAATACTTTGATGGGCCTAAATAACTCAGAGCATTTGTTTCACTTAGGAAATTCTAATTAAACACGTTCATTTCTTGGGTTTTGTTTTTAAAAATTAGCAATGATTTGAATTGCTACCAACGTTCTGCATCCTTGGAGTTGGTCCTGCGCTCCTTTCTTGCCTTTCCTGAGGCTCAAAACCAGTAAGCAACTTGACCAGAGCTGGAGAAAGGGAGCTGAGACCTGTGAAGCAGTCTCTCTCCTTCATCCCCTTTCCCAGAGCACACACATACCATGTGTCATGTTGAAACTGGATGCACCTGCTAGAGGAGCTGTGTGGGGGCAGACATTATACACCAGTTATAAATCCTTAGGCTATCAACAGCCTTTAGTAAACATTTGGACAATCCTTCCTACCTCTCGGTCATCCAAATATTTGCATCATGCGAGGCTGCTAGCCGTTTCCTGACATGCTGCGTATCTAAGAATATCCTCGGATCGTAGGTCGGTTCCAGCGTACCATGATGGATAGTCTTATTGGATGAAATAAATGGCTAGGGGAGAAAGAAAGAAAGAAAGAAAAAAATCTATCTGTCTCCTGATAATAAATCCAGGTCAGGATGGAGTGAAACAGCTTGCAGTTGTGAGCTGTATTTTTGGAGAGCTTTTAGGATCTGATCCGAAGCACCCAAGGGTTAATGATGAATTGAGCCCTGAGCTCAATCAGTGGAAATACTTCCCTTAGTGACTCGAATCGCTTTGGACCAGGCTCTTAGGGGAACGGCTGAAGATGCCTCTGAAAGCTTTTCCTTCCTGCTGCCCTGAGCACAGGGTTGGAAATAACCTGGGCTAACTACATATTTAAAATGGGAGCCTGCTCCACCAAAGACAGGTTTGGCAGCTCATCCTTCAAAGCAGAACATCTCCCAGGTGAGCTGCAGGAGGAGACCGCTGCAATGCAAAGGGCTTCAGATCTGCCTGTGAACTGTTTAATGAAGCAGAGTTGCCAAGCAGATCTAAAACAATTTTTTTTAATGCAGAAAGAGGAAAGCAGTCTGGACTCGGCTTGAATAGTTAATAGCGGTGCTTGCATACAAAACCCGTGTTTAAGACTAGTGTGCTAAATAATAATGTTACAAAGATTGAGCCTCACAGCACAATAATTTTAGTCTTCCATTCAATACTCAACTGGTACTTTATAGCTAAATATACACTATAACAAGCCAGTGGATTTTCTGATAGCGTAGTAAAGAAAATACTTAACACTGAGCTTAGTGGCAGGATAAAGTCGCTCAGGGAGTGATGTGGCTTTTGCACTGCAACTTCAGTTTGGACCTTTTGTTTTAAACTTTTTCCCCCCTCAATAAAACCACCAGACTCACAAAAAATAAAAACAACACAACTCACTGTTGTGCCGGAGTCCAGACAGAGGGTGCACAAACGTGTTTTCTAACAGTGGCACGGGACTAAACCCATCTGGAGGGTTTGTTTCCACCCCCAACCCCACCAGGTGCCCCCAGGTAATTCTCCTCCACCTCCAACCAGTTTCTTCAAGGTCTCCCCGCACTGGCCTTTGGGGAAACCCAAAGCTCCGGCCCCGCTTAGGACAGACTAAACAATATCCACAAAGTCGCCTCAGCCCTCCAAGGGGAAGTGGAGCATCCCAGACGGACAGGGGAAAGGCAGTGTCCCGGGGGCAGGCGAGGGGCTCCTGGGGGAGAGGTGGGTGGGTGGGTTGAGGGGAGGGAAGCAGGGATGTGGCGGAAGCATAAAGCACCTGTTGAAGGCTATTTAGGGATTAGCCAAGTGCTGACAGACAAATTGGCAAGATTAATAAGAGCAATCAAGGCTGTGTGGGCTAGAGTTGTTAGTTGACATTAATGTGACATCACTTTCATCTGCTTTTGCCTCACACCGCATAGCTGGTACGCGGCATCATTAGTGCTGCTAGCGAGCAGCGCGGTCGGATGTGGGGGTTAGGGGAGGGGGTGTGGGTGTGGGTGTGTGGCGGGTAAGGGGCAGCCCCCGGCCCGACCCGGCCCCGCGGTGCGGAGCGGAGCAGACTTAGTTTTGGGGCCGTTTTCTTCCAAGTGATCCACTCTGCCGGCTTTTTCGCCCTGCCAACCCCGCCGCCGGGTGGCGTAGTGTTGCTAGCTAAAAACGCCGTTTTCCCGGGGAAAAAAGGGAAAGGGGGAAAGGCTAACTCCAGGTGCGAGGGCAGAAGAAAGAAAAACTGCCGTCCGCGGTCGCCGGGAAGCACCGCACTGGGAATCTCCCACTTCCACGTGGAGAAGGCTCAGTCCCCGACTGATATCCGAAGGCAGAAAAGCTGATTTCAGGGGGCTCCGCTGCCCCCGAAAACAGGGGGGAAATCCCCCCTGCAGCTCTAGTGCGGCACAGCGAGGGCAGGGGAAAGGTTTGCTCAGGATTTTCTTGCTGTTCGTTCCCTAATCCCTTCCCTACTAATGTTCCCCCCTCCTCAAGTTTTGTTAACATCCCCTTCAAACGGGGACTTGCTTACACTTCGTTTTTTCTTTGTAGTTTAGTCAATGAGGAATCATAACAGTAGTAAAATATCTGAATGCACAAACCCTCCAGGTCTGCCTGGCTCTGTCGGAGAGGCTCCTCCGCCGAGAGCTTTTGCCCACAAAAGGAAAGTGTTGAAAAGGAGCGCAGTGCCAAATGCTGCGCGCACGTTTGCTCGCAGAGCTTCCCGCAGGGAGAAATCCGTGCGCTCTCCTTTTAATTGGGACCAAAGGTGGGTTTCTCCAAGACGGAAAATTGTCAGTTGGGTGAGGAAGCCTGTAAAAATGTGATTTTAACCTGTAAGCAGTGACAGTTGAAGCAGGCAGAGGAGGATAGGAACAATTGAGTGGGGGCCGGGGGGGAGGTCTGCCCGAAATAATTTTGGACAATTTTTTTTTTAAAGGAAAAACAAAATCGAAATGATATCAAACTCATACCCTGAGATCAAAGTAAAAATAGGCAGACAGTTACTGCTGTCTTCCCCCGGGCAAAAAGGTGGAGTTTTAATTTTTATCTAAAGCTCAAAGAATTGATTCTTGCTCATGAAGCATTTAAAGAGTCTGGAATTATATTTTTCACCATCGTGAATGGGTAAATTACTGGCGTTTTGGAGCAAATTTCAAGTACTGCCCAAATCCACCCGACAAGAAAAAAACCCTCGGCAATATCTATCCCCAAAGGGTCTCCAGTTTCCTCTGCCACAAGCAGGGTTATCAAGCACACGTTTGCCGCAGGGACACTGAAATCCATCTGCGGGGGGAGGATGATGGAGAGAAGGAGAGCTGAGCCCCAGCTTCCCTTGCTGGGCTCCAGAAGCGGGTTCAGAGCCTTTGTGGCTGGACCCCAAGCAGGAGGGCATGTTTTCGTTGTTTTTTTATGGTTAATTTTTGAGAGCCGGTTTGGATGCCACCACTTCGTCCTCCGCAGTCCCCTTGGCGGACTGGCTTTTCCTGGGCAGTGATGGCAAACGCACTGCAAAGCTCGCAAGCGAAACAAAAGCGAAGGGGGAGAGGCGGCACGGGCTCCCCGAAGCGCGCAAAATATGTTTCTGCTAAAAATACAAAAATCATATTTGCTCACGGAAACTGATTAGGTTTAAAGTACACAGCTTAGACCAATCCGGCAGCAACATCCAGGGCATTCAGTGGTCTGTTTGTAATCTCAGCCTTTTTCATTAACATAAACACTGCTTCAACAAAAATATACACGGCCACCTACTAAGCCGGTGAAGTAAACGAGGGGACGGTGCCGCTGCTTTCGGCGAGGATGTGAGCGGGGCTCAGCGGGCGCGGAGCGGCCGCGCACGCGGGGCAGACCTGGGGCAGGAACCGCGCGTGAAACGCGCACGGAAACCGGTATTAAACCCAGGTACCGGAGACTGAGCAGTTCGCACACCGCCGATTTCCCTCTTCAGAAAAAGATTACAGATGCGATAAAACCAAATTTCCCCCCCACACACACCCGCACCTCCCTCCAGTCTAAATCTAGGATTTTATTCTTTCTTCCCTCTCTTTCAGGGTGTTCAGGGAGCATTTTTTAACGAACTTCCTTTAGGAAATGCTTGCTTCGCTTTCCTACCGGCTCCC